CGTGATGCCACCAAGGTCAAGATCAGGGAATTTCTGCTGGACCAGGTACCTGCACAACTTGAACCCGGAGCGGTAGGAGCCCGAGCTATATTCAACTGCAGGGCCTCAAAATCTGGGGATTCTTTGAAGCTCTCGAAGGCCTTTTCCCTTTCTTCTGCGATGGCGGTCTCAAAGATTTCGGTGCATTCTTTGACTGTGGCCTCAAGGTTCGCAACCTCTCACTGAAGTTGTGCCTTCTCCTCAGTCAGCGTAGAGATCTACCCTTCCTGGGCCAGAATCAACTGCCTCTGGCCCTCAGCTCCCATTTTAGCTTGCAGTACTTCACCCCGAGCCAGGTCCAGCTCGCGGTGAAGCTTCCGCACCTCCGCCTGGGCATCCCGAGCTTCCTTCAAACGGATCATAGATTGACAAGCTAGTGCGTGAACAACAAAGTTGGCCTAGCAAAAGAAGACCGAGGTTAGTAAAAAAAAATGGAATTGAAGACGGGATACTTACCACCATACCATGGCTAGCGGCTAGTCCCAAAAGACGAATTGTAGGCATGTCCGCCCATTTCGCGACCTCATCGTGGAAGACGACGTCCCGACTCTTATGCACCACAAGTATGTGGTCTAGTATACTTTCTTGTGCGCTTGCGGGAATGCTCTCCGGATTGGTGTCTGCCTCCTCAGGCGTCGACGAGCCTCCCAGCTCCTAGGGACGAGCTCCCCCCTTGCGGTCCTCGCCCACTACCACTTCGGGAGCCGCTGATCGTACCTCATCCCTGGAGGGCTGAATGGTGATCGGCTCCGTGGCCAAGACCTCGGTTGAAAGCCCAGCCTCCTGACGAAGACTCTTTGCAGCCCTCCGCTTCTTCCCCTTCTAGGAACTCCTCAAGAGACTTTCTGCATTGATCGGCATTGTAACTGCACAAATAAAAAGGTCAATCAAAGAACTTAGAGTACTCTTTCAAATAAATACCTGAAAAGAAGCCTACCGGTAGGGCTCAGACCAGCTCGTACCAGCGCCACCTCGGCCATGAAGCTTTTCATCTCGAGGCCGAGGTCCCTCCAAGAATTAATTACTGCCTTGGTCTCTGCATCCAAGCTCACCCCGGGGTCCTTGGTAGCTACCCTCCAGTGGGTTGGGAAAGACCACCCCTCCGGGTTACGAACAATGAGATACCGCCTTTTCCAGGCCGGAACTTTGTTCGGGTAGCCGAACAGGATTTTGAATCCAGGCCTGGGAGAGATGTAGTAGCTTTGTCTTACGTCCCCACGCAGGCAGGCCAAGTTTCGCTTGATTGCGCAGATCGAGCTAAAGATACCAAGGGTTGAAGGACGGTTATAAGCATGTAACAAAGAAATAGTACCAAGTATGTTTCGAATAGATTTCGGATGAAGCTAGTCGATAGTAATGTTGTAAAACTTAACTACTTCTATCAAAAAGGGGTGAAGAGGGAAGCACAGCCCTGCCGCGAGCTGCTCCTCGAAGATGGTGAGATCATGGTGATCATAAGCCCAAGGGAATTGACTTAAAGGAAGACTAAAAACTAAGTTGTCGGGAAGGTGGTAATGGGACACTAAGTACAGCAATCTGTTCGAAGACAGTTTGGAAGGACTGAAGTCATCAAGATCTCGACCTCGGGAAGAAGATGGGGCCTCCGATCTGGAGGACAAGCCCTCTTCTTGAGCTTCGGTCTCCCCGAGCCGAGATGGCTCGACTTCAGGGTTAGAGGTTCCCTCTAAAGACCGAAGAGGGGAGGCACCCTGCCGAGAGCTGACCTCCTCAATAGGGATAGCGGCACCCTCCACCTCGCTAGAACTATCTAACAGCCTCTCTACACTAGAGCTAGACATAATTAAAGAACAGAAAAAAGACTAAAGAACGAAGACTCACCAAAGGAAAAGACGACTCTGGAAACAAAGGGAAGACCGAGCTAAGAGTCTGACGCGACCTCGGGAGAGCTCAATCTCAGAGTATACAGCGAGAAGAATGAGTCACGGGCCCCTCCTATTTATATTCACTATACCAAAGAAGCGACAGTCAAGATCAAAGCAATCTGACGGCTCCTAAGAAAACCGGTTGCACGACCCTCGAGATCGAAAACAGTTTAGCGTGTTTTTTGGCGTCCGCAGAATTCATAGATCATGTGACGTCCACGCGTAAACTGCACGCTACCTATCTGACAGGGTGGCCTAGACTTTGAGCCAAATCCACTTATCATATCGTGAACTCCCCATACCAGGTCACGACCCCTAACTCGGGGAGTGGGGGGCAATTGATGAAGGGGAATTTGGCCCGACTTCATAATCAGGAGACACGTGGGCGTGACTCGGCATAAGTGACAACTCGACATGATCAGATCGACACGTGGACATGACTCAACGCGGGTAACAGCTCAGCACAAATCAGCTCGCTACAAAGTGACCTCGGGTACGCTGTTACCCCGAACTAAAGTTACTTCGGGCCAAGATCATCCCAGTACCAGTTCGTGACCAAGAGAACAGTGCCAAGTCCGCTACAGGTCGAGTTCGGATAGATGAGCCACCTCGGGACAGGCCTACCTCGGTGCAAGAACACCTCGGTACTAAAGCACTTTGGCATTCGAGGTAGTTCAAGTCTGTGGAACACGAGCTCAAGCAGCCCGCCAATAGGCAGCTTGCCACCAAACAGCCCGGCACTTCACAAGCAACCCACTGCCTAGTCTGGTCGACCTCCGCATGGCAACCTCGAGGAACACACATTCGTACTCTACATCCCACGGGACCGTACTTTGTAACGGCTACATTAGTTCACCCACTCCCCGATTCAGACGGAGATGGCCAACCTCACAGCGGGAGACGTTACTCCCAACTAACATGGTAACGGACCTAACACAGCGAAAATTCAGGATCTACTCCACCAATCCCGTCAGGACTCCAGTATATAAAGACTTCACCCCCAAGGGCGAAGTTATGTTTTTATGTGTAATCTTTGCTCTCTAACTCTCAAATTCATTGTTATCATCTTCAAGCTCTCTACTACAGCTACTGTGTGCTAACTTAGCCATCGGAGTGTTCCCGCTGGGTCAGCCACCCCAGGATCTCTGACTCCTCTCTTGCAGGGTACCCTAGTTTTCGTCGTTGCTAGCAGCCAGATCGTATCCAGTAGGGAGCAGTCGAATTACGCCACATCAACTTCTATTAATAAATGTTTTTTTCTTTAATTTTAGACAATATTTTGTGTTGAATTATGTTGTATGTGTTGAATTGAATTATTAAATATTGATGTGATTATAATTTTAATACATTATTTAAATGTTCACATATATTGAGTATGATGCAGTTCCTTATAAATTCTATTAAAACATATTAATTTAATATATATCTTATTAAAACTTTATATTTAGTGTTATTAGTGTATTTTTATGTTATATTAAAGTTTTTATAATATATCTATACGTATCTACACATATTTTAATTTTTCTCTGATATACATGTCTATACAAAGTATATCTTAATACATATCTTAAAATTACCTTTTCGATACGTTAATACATTAAACGTATCCGATACTTTAAACCTTGGGTGCATCTAAATTCTGTGTGGGGTGATTCGACGCTATCTCACGAGTTGAAATGTGAGCAGTAGGGCCGACGGATGATGATATGATATGATATATCAATGCTGCTCCGTTCATATATATCTCAAATAACTACCGAGAGGCGAGAGCATCAGTCAATGTCAATGGAGTGGGTGAGGGTCCCACCTAACCCAAAATACGGAGTAGGTACGTACGTAGTTGCTCAGCTCTTTCCTCGCTCACTTTTACCCAAGTGCCAGTAGCCCAGTACCCACTCTTTTGGACTTCTGGTAGCGGTGGGCTTTCCGCGCCACCCATGGGCCATGGCAAGAGGAAAAGATTAATTAATTTGTGATTCACACGGTTTTAGCCCACTAGTCAATAAGCTTGTTGTGCCATGAATCAGTCAAGAAAAGAAATTATATACAGGATTGTCGTATCCCATGCACGAGATCGAGGTAAGAGTGGATTAGGTCCTGAGTTGACTAGGTCGAGTTGAGGGCAGGCTAGGTATCGACTTTTTGTAAAGTATCGGACTGACCAGATGCTGAGTATCTATAAAGTACTGCATAAAATAGTTAGTACTTAATTGTCACGAAATGTCAGGTGTCATCATGTCAATGAAGGGTCAAATTCACCCTCATCGTTATCGAACTTTGAATTTTTAAAACCAATTGTTATAGTTTAACCCTTTCAAATTTCAATATCTATTGCAGTCAAGCCTCTATGTTTGACCAAGAAAAGAGAGGTTCCACAAGTCATTTACTTTAATTTAAATAGAGACCCCAATGGCAATGGCTCCGATTCGACAAGGATCCGAAAAGAAAATTCAAGATTAGCTGTATAGCTGTAGTGAATTTTCTAATTTTTTTTTCTCGTGGGATGACGTAGTGCAGCAACTTTTTTTACAGTCCAAAGATGGGAATTTAGGAAAATGACTATTCAAACCATCTCAAAATTTTAAATTCACCGTACAAATAGGATGAATTCTAACCATGGTTTGATGTCAAATTCTCGGGCAGAAAAATGATAAATGAGTTTCTTTAATGTTTACCAGTTGTTCACAGTCCAGACAGACTTGCTGTGCCTCGGCCAAGTGTGGGAAGGTTACTCTTCTTGTGGATAGCACATCTCTTGTGGATTTCTAGCCTCTTTTAATTGGGGGAACTGATGGATGCTACGTGACAGCGAATATGATAAAAAATATGTTAGTTTGGTTTCCTTTGCGTACAATAGTCAAATACCCTGTTTCAGTTTTGTCATATAGTAATTAAAAAAAGTCGGTCAATACCGTAGCGCTTTCATTGTTCAACAACTCTTTGAGTAAATTCCATTTATTATGCTTATTGTTAATTTGATCCCCATTTTTTTCTTTTATTCTGTCTACTCTCGAATAGTCGAATGTATCAAGTTGGTGTTTCAGGATCGACTTACAAAAAAAAATAAAAGATTGCCAATTGGTGCTATAAGGACGTGTCACGTTACGTTTGATTTTGAAGATAGTAATTATAAGCATACATATTAGCCCTCAAATAAAGTAAGAATTACATGAAATTTTTGATTTCCGTGAATATATAAAGAAACAAACACGAGATCGAGTGAGACACAAACCCACACACTGCAACCAATGGGAATGGGGAACTCAAGCCAAAGCCAAAGAGAGGATAGACGAGTCCTCAAGCAGATTTATAGAATTCCATGACATAGCTGTTGAAAGCGCGACACATAACTCCAACTCCAGCGAATCCGGCGCCCTTGGCCAAGGCCTCAAAGTCTTTCTCGGCTCTCTCTTTTCCTCCAGGGTTATGTGCCAGCATGATGTTGTCAAGTTGGAACACACCGTTGGCGGAAAGATTAGTCTCGGGAGCTACCGGAAGAATGGACTCGACGACAATTATCTTTCCATTTTCCGGTAACGCTTGGTAGCAGTTCTTCAAAAATTCCAAGCAATGTGCATCGCTCCAGTCATGACATATCCACTGCAAATTCATCCAACCACACAAGTGGTCAAGCAAAATATCACTATGAATCCCATAGGCATAAAAATAAACCTCCAAGTGTTTGATGGAGTCAGCAATACCAATATACAACATTAATGTTATTTATTTAATTAGTAGCTCCTATCCAGAAAGAGTGAGACTCTCTATTAGAAAGCAAAAGCAGTAGGAATTAGTGGTGGTGTAGTGGTACTCACTTTCATGAAAATGGCATCTCCTTTAGGTACACTAACAAACATATCTCCTCCAACATGCTCCACGCCTGCTCCAAAAAAAAAAACACAAAAGATATCATTCATCAATATCATCGCCCATCAGCCATACCATGTAGCTAGTGGGACCTACTTTTCCACTACACCGATCGTTTGGGATTATGATAATTAAGATGGAGTTGATGATGGAATGAATGATAGATATATAATAATAATAATAATAATAATAATTAATTAAGGGAGATTGAGGAGGAGGAGTACCAGGATAGGATGGGGCATCTTCAATAACGTGAGGCAAATCGAAGTTAATGCCCTTGATGGAAGGGTACTTGGAAATAATCATGTTAAGTGTAGCTCCAGTTCCCCCACCGACGTCCACCACGGAGTTGAGGCCCTCGAATCCCTTGTATGTCTCAAGAATCTTCTTCATGGTTATGGTGGAGTGATCTGACATTCCCCTGTTGAACACTTTGTTGAATCTGGGGTCTGTGCCGTGGTATTCGAATGCAGTCATGCCGTAGGCCTTGTTAAATGGAATTCCCCCATCAAGCACTGCGTCTTTCAAATGGTACCTACACAACAGAATTACCTACCCTCCTCAGTAATTACATGATGATGCCACTTTAGCATTTCCTCTCAATCCCCTAATATGTTTAAGTAAGTGACCATCGCCCCCTTTTCAATCTGTTACCTTTAACCAATCTATTACTATTACATTATTTAATTTGCCTGTTTGTTTAATTATAAATACAATTATATACTTCTCCGGAAGCAAAAGCTGATCGAAAAGCATACATAATTAATATCCAGTTTTAATTTTATTTTCAATGGACCCCCCTCTCTCACGGTCTCACCCTCAACCCTCCTTAAAATCTTTTTTTTTTTTTAACAGATGAGGGTCCACTCCATGCTGATTAGCTGCTATGATCCATTCAAAGTTTCCTGATCTCGATCAAACGGTGTTTTTTCTACCAAGTACCAACCCCCGCAATGGTATTTGCACTCTCAAAAGTCTCAACTCTCAACCCCACCCGGCCAAAAAGACTAGTATCTTTTGGATTGGATCCCTCAAATCAAATAGTCCAATTTGGAAGGGAAGAGAAAGGAATTAGGGATCGAAGGCGTAACAAAAGCAACCTCCGTTGCTTGCCTCTCTCGCCACTCGCCACCAACCGTTTGAGTTTTTGAGCCTATGGACGGCCGGTGTTTGACACTGCTTGTCACAAAACCACTCTCGATCGCTCCTATTCTCTTTGCTCCCTCTCGTCAGAAAATTAAAAAATAATAATAATAATAATAAAATATTTTACCTTGTTTAGATTAACCAAAAAAATTGTTAAAATCAGAGAATAAAAAGAAAGTTGAAATTAAAGAAAAGGGGAGGCGAGGGTACCAGCTTTCCATGAGGACCTTGTCTTGATTCATGAGCACCAGTGGAGCCATCGACACTCCATCTTCGTTCTTCACCAAGAACTTACACACGGGTGCAAGGCCGTAGAGTCTCTCTACCCGTCCATCGTCGTGGGTGCGTAGGGAGCAAGTAAGAATGGAGAAGCTGGCTAGGAGACGCAGCATACGGTCGAGCATAACAGGTGCATCTGGGTTCTGCGTAGGAAGATGAGAGGCGATCTCAGAGGTCGAGATGTGAGCCCCAGCGCCTGCTTCAGCAATGATCTCCAGTACATCTAGCTCGATGGCTGCTTTCAATACCATGGGTACGACCGAAGCGCTGGCCAATTGCATGGCGTAGTTGCAAGCTTCCTCCTCTTCTTGGTCTGCAATTTTGATCTGGGTCTTGGTCGAACCCATGGTTGTTCTCTTTTTTAGGACTGCCAAAACAAATAACGAACAAGACCGAAGAGGATGGACGAGCCGGTGGGGGTAGGGGTGAATGGATGATTGGCACAGAGCAATGGGGAGGAAAGGATCACATATATATATAGATGTTACAGTCTATTACTGTTACAGACAGGATGTTAAATCATAAATCATTTACCCACCCACCAAAAAACACTGCCATCTCACTCTCTCTCTTTCTAGAGTAGGTGAGGTGACATTCCCAAGCTGGCAACTTTGGGCCCAACTTATGGTTAGTGAGATGACTTTTTCGGTTAACTTCATCCACACACTTTTGGTGGACCGACACTCAATGTCCTGTATTGCTCTCAGCAAGCGGGAATGATAATATGTGTCATGAAAATAGAAGGATTACTAAACGATTTGGAAATATGGATGGAGGGCTGATCCTGATCCATTGGATGGTTGAGGTAAGGCCTATGTATTATAGCTGGTAGCCAGGGTCCACAATCTAACAATTGCATTGGGTGGAATTGACTTCGTAACGTAATACACACTTTTTTCTTGCAAAGAATCCCGACTCTTACCAACTACCGGGGGCGGGCCGGCGGCGGACAAGATATTCAGCCGATGACCGATCCCAACAAATGGTAGCGATTAGCGAACCGATTGAGATGATTCTCCAAACTATTTTAATATTTTATAATTTTCGAGAAAGAAATTGAAAAAAGTAAAATTTAAATGACCATTTAATACAAAGGGTTAATTACTCATAACATGTGGTTTGATCAAATTCTAAGTATACTTGTGGTTTGCAAAAATATTCTCACCTATCTTATACAGGATGATCTATTAGTGTCAGTTTTTCAATTTTCATCCTTTGTTAATCCCATTTTTACCCATCTATATTATTAATTTTCTTCTTCAAATTATGTAACCCCAACAACCTAAATCTAATCAGGTGGGGATTTTCTTTCCTCACCTCTTCAATGAGTCTAGATAGAGGTTGAATTAAGTTTGGAGGTTTTATGAGCTTCGAAAGGATGACCAAAGCAAGAGTAGCGATTACAATTATATTTTGAAATTTCAAGTTTAAAGTTGAATTTTCAAATTTCAAGCACTGTGAGACTAGTCATATTTTGAAAATCTAATGAATATCCAACGGCATTCTTGTCCTTTTAAGCATGTTTAAGTAGTTTTTTTTATAAGCATTTAAATAGTTTAGTGAAGGGCAACCACAGGATATATTAAATAATTAACGCTAAAAGAGAAAAAAAAAACACAAAGAAAGAAAGAAATAATTTAAAACAAATATTCCATCCATGATCCACCAACTTTATGAGTAACTAGGAAAAGTGATGTGAAAAGTGTTTCCAAAAACGTTGAAGACCGCTAGCTCTAACACCCGATCGTAATTATGTTTTTCTTTCTTTCTTTTTCTTTTTCTTTTTTTTTTTTTTCGGGTAAGAATCATCCATCTACATGTTTGGTCTTACATATCCCCACCTCCAAGCAAAGAACAATACCTTCTGTTCTAGGATTGAAATATCAACATAAATCTCAATCGTATACCATCAGTATCAATTGGTATTTGATGTTTCTTAGTGAGGGGCCAACATGGTTGTTAATTGTCCAAATATTTGAGCTTTGTGCCTGATGCATGTGTCCAAACGGAAGGTACGTAACTTAGGGTTGAAGATTGCTGCATGATGGTTGAAATAATAAGAAAATGTGTTTGGTTCTTGTAATTGAAGGATGACGTCCAATAAATACAAACAACTATGGTTGTTTTTGTATTCATCTATGACTTTGTATAAGCTGAGTCGTTCAGGTGGAAACTATCACTGGCGCTATCAATCATACTCATGGTTTTTAAAAACGAACCGGTGATTAAACCAGTCAGGGGTCTGGTTATCGGTTCAAACAGTCCGACTGTTTGATTCGAATGGTCGGCCTGTTCTGACAAAAAAAATAAAAAAATTTAAAAAATGATCAAAATTATTCGAACGATTCGAATGGCTAATCGGCTGATTCAGCGGTTTGTTGACCAAAATCAACGGTTTTGGAGGAAAGTGGAACCAATCAGATGACCGGTTCTCAGTTTCCAGTCCGATTTTGAAAACAGTGATCATAATACATAATTAATATTTCAGTCATTCCAAATATGCTTTATTAATTGAAATTTAATATTTTGGTTATCACTCATCATCCTTTTTTTAATACCATTAATTAATTAATTAATACAATAGGATGAATATACAAAAGGGGCCTCCACCAAACAAACCACTGTTGCAGATGGCATTTTTATCTTAATCCAATGTATAATATAATATGGCTTCTCTACTTGAAAATCGCTACCTTGACTTCATTGTATAGGAGCAAAGCAAACAAAGATTTTCTTTTTTTTTTTTTTTAGGGGGAGGGAGGCGGTAAGCATCGTATACAACCTCAAGATCAGTCTAGATTTCCTACTATCCTCACTCTATTAATCAAATAAAATATTATTAGCTCTCATATGATAGCTGTTAAGCCCCCTATAAGAATCCTACCACATATAACAACAGTTAAGCCCCTTTGTTATTGTTACCGTGATTACGTGATTCTAGGAACCGGATTTTTTGTTCTGCTTGATTCTTGGGATATTTATCTAATCTTAAAGCTGCATCTTATCTTGTATAGTCTTACCTTATTTATTCTCTGTACCTTACCATCTCTACAGGTACAAATACCTTTTTTCTTTCAACCCTGTTATTCATCTTCGTTAATATCTTTTTCCTTTTCTTTTGGCAAGAAGAGACCACCGGTAATGATTTCATTGTTTCACCAAGTTCCGACAACAATTGCCTTCTAATTCGGATGGCATGTCACCGAGCGAGAGGTTGGTGGTTGGTGCCATCAAGCTCGAAGAAACAATTGTGCCTCCGAGTTTTCGCATGCTGTGTCGGTTACGGTGAACCCAAATGATATTGAATGAAAAACGGAAAGAACCTGATTTCCATTGAACGGGTACAAGTGTTTGTTGTTTATATGTTCCAGGCGAAGAAGTTGATGCCCTTGAAGTCATGGGAACATATGGAGATTTCGTTGGAGCCTTATAATTTCGAGCTTCTTACAGTTTATCCAATGAAGTTATGTTGGAATTGTACAGCGGAAATAATATAATTTGTACGTGCACAAAAACAAAATAAAAGAAGATAACAATAAAGAAATAAAGAAAAGAGAACATCAGATTTATGTAATTCGGCCAAAATACCTACGTCCACGGGCAGCAACTCAGAGCTTCCTTCTTTCTATAAACAGGAGAAAGTACAAAATAGCATCACCGGAATCTCACCTATACCCGACACTCAATACATCCAAACTCAATACTCCTCTTAACACACTGTATACACTATACACTGAAATGAAATAGAGTATGTATAAAAAAACATAGGGGGGACCCCTATTTATACTTGAGCTTAGGGGTATAATGGGGTCTTTTAAAAATTTTCTTCATAATTAAGCAAACCACAAYCAGTGGTTTGCAAATGGTGTGCCACCGTTCTATTTGGTGGCACCAAATAGAATGGTGGGCACAGCTCGGTGGGCCACCGATTGGCCCACCTTTTGCTTTTCAACATTCTCCCACTTGAAGACAATTTTCATAGTGAAGAAACTCGCTCAAGAGTAGCTTCCGATCATCTCTTCCTATGTGGCTTCAAGTCCCAAAGAAGTCCTGCACCAGATGAACTTCCCTCTCATCACTGGCTTTGTCAATAAATCAGCAATGTTGTTGTTAGTGTGGATCTTCTGTAACGAGATTTGCATCAACATAACCAACTAGTTTTAAACTTTGGCCACTATAACAAATAGAGATTTCAGAAGTACCTTTCAAATACCGAAGGATTCTCTTCACCGCAGTCCAATGATCTCTTCCTGGATTTGCCATAAACTTACTGACTGCTCCCACTGCTTGTGCAATGTCTAGTCTGGTGCACACCATGGCAAACATAAGGCTCCCTACTGCTGATGAATATGGTATGTGGGACATCTCTGTCTTCTCAGCTTCAGTGCTAGGTGATTGTTCCGAAGAAAACTTGCAACCAACAGAAAATGGGATACTGACTGGTTTGAAATCTTGCATGTTGAAGCGCCGCAAGACCCTTTGAACATAACTCTTTTGAGTTATCCAGACTTTCTTGTTCTTTCTATCCCTATATATCGTCATTCCAAGAATCTGATTAACCGCCCCCAGATCCTTCATGTCAAACTCCCTAGCTAAACAAGCTTTTAGTGTTGAAATACTTCCTTTATTAGTACTTGCAACTAGCATGTCATCAACATATAACAGCAAAATGATAAAGTGATCATTACCAAAGTATGTGTAGGCACAATGATCTACTTCGCATTTTCTAAAACCCAAGCTCACAATGAAAGAATCAAATCACTTATACCAACACCTTGGCGCCTGTTTTAGACCGTAAAGTGATTTGGTCAGCTGACAAACCAGATCCTTTTTGTCATTCTCGACAAAGCCTTCAGGTTGAGTCATATAAATCTCTTCTTCAAGATTACCATGCAAGAATGCAGTTTTAACATCTAACTGCTCCAGTTCCAAGTCAAGTACTACAGTTATACTCAACAGAATACAAATAGTACTTAATCGAACAACAGGAGAAAATATTTCGTTGAAACCGGTACCTGATTTCTGAGCATATCCTTTTACAACTAGTCGAGCTTTGTATCTTTCGATATTCCCGCTAGTATTCTTTTTGAGTTTGTACACCCATCAACAACCAATGGTCTTTCGATTCTTAGGTAGTTTGACTAAGTCTCAAGTTTTATTTTTCTTCAGAGCTTCCATTTCTTCCTCCATTTCCATTTGTCAATGACGAGCATTTGGACATTTGCATGCTTCCTGGTATGAACAAGGCTCGTGCTCTTCTATAATGCAAGCATAAGCTGTTACATAATCCTGAAGCCAGACAGGAGGTCTTGTAGCTCTCCTCGATCGACCTTGATCACCGTGAGTCTCTCCTTCAAAATTTAAAATGTGCTCTTCAGGTACATCAACAGTTGTATCAATTTGTTGCTCTTGAATCTTTTGAAAAGATTCCACTTCAACTTTCTCTGTTGTCTTAG